GAGGTACTTATTTTAAGCCTGACCTCAAGTTCCCCTCTGAGGTGAGGAAGTTAGCCACAAACATGACAATGTTCCTATTTTGTTTTTCTGTTTAGCTGCTAGTTCGTTGCTGCTCAATAATCTTCAAAATGAGTCATATAAAACACAATCAGTTTGTTAGGCATAAGATAAGATTGGTTTTATGTCATCACCCATGAAAGCTAATTGTTGTGTAACGATATTGCACAGCGGATTAAAAGATTACAGGTCAGAGTTCAAAAGTCATGCGGTGCCACTGCAGCGAGTGCATCGTGGGCTTGCTTAAGAAAATCTATTTAACTTCATTGTGAAAGAGTGATCAAGGTTACGACACGAGGCTCGTCAGTCACATGCAGATCAGGCAGGAAAATGTTGCCCTGTAAGTGAGTCCCTTCTATATTTTTCATGAAACAAAACTGCAAGAAGGGGAACGTACCCGTATAAAAGAACTGTTACGAAGGTAACCTCGAATTCTTTTCCTGTTCAAGTACAATGCATCACCAAATCACCACTATTCCCAGAATTAAATCCCAGTTTGCTTATGGTTCTGGTTTGGAACAAGCTGACTGCTGACCTGAAGTCAGCTCTAAGTCCGCCTACAATCAAAAACAAACTTAAACCCTTTTTATTCTCACAGGATTGTATTTAATACTATTGTATTAAGGCATAGTAGATCAGGGTAGTTTAAAATATTTTACGTTAAACATATTGAGTCTCTATGTTTTTAATAATCAACATTACAGCAACTGTGATATGATTTTAACACAGACCTTTTTCAGTTTTTGAAAGCAAACTGATGATAAAAAGGACATTTTTGACTCGCTCATTAATACTGTTGAATATCAGGCACAATAGGCCTATATGTGTTTATCCTTTACGTAAAACACATGTAGTTAAAGTGCAATCAAATCACTGTATAAATTAAATTGCCAAATGGTCACTATGTGATCACACCAAACACTAATATTTTGTCAGTAATAAAGACAAACACACAAACCTTTGCAAAGGTCAGTCAGTTTATTCCAAACTTACACGTACACACAAGCACACACAAGCACACACAAGCACACACACACAGACACAGTTTCAGTTTTACAGACTTTACAAAGATGTTGAAGACCTGAGCTTTTTGCATCTCTTGTTTTGACTTTAAATGACCCCAGAAATGTTTGTCTAAATTTTCACCACAATGTATCTAATTATATATAGTTTTGAGAGAACACAATTAAACATATTTAGCTGTATTTGGGATATTTATTGCAGTTAACTGCATGATTTATTATTTATTATTTTAGTTAATTTATCTATAAAGAGAATAATTAAAAAAAATCCCAAAATTAAGCTAAGATAGTCCACAACAGGTTTCTGTTCTTGAATATGCAGTTTGTTATTCTGATGATAATATGCTTATTGTATATTTCCCTGAATAGCAACAGTACTCGTTTTCAAATAATAATCGATGAAACAAACAATACGAAGCAGCAGGCTGAAGATTTCTATTTGCATCCCACTGAGCATTGTTTCCCAGTATGAAAGAAGATGCTTCAGAGATGGCTCTGTTCCTTTTATAGTATCACACTCACATCATTTGCATGACACAGCAAAACACAAAAAAGAGCAAAAGAATCACAGAAAAGATGACAAGTTAAAGGATAAGCTGAACCCTTAGTCCTTGCAGTTACATTTTGCAGGCATGGTTTGGGGTTACTCGTCTCTGTACGCATTTGATACTTTTGGAATCTGCAAGGTTGCAGTGACTGCTTATTTATTATCAGGGAGAGTCCTTGCAGATGTTCACATATGCCTCCTGTAGACCTTTTTCAGAGACGTTAATAGTGTATTAAACCTCCACTCAGGGGATGCTGGGTCCTTGTCATGGCTCACTGAGACGCTTAATGGAACTGAACCATAGATAACACACTTGTGCTTTCCATACGGCACAAACTAAAAAACATCTGTAGTTGTAGTAGTTGGTTTGTTGTTATACTGCTACTGCACAAACTGTGCATTCTTCCTTCAAGCAGAAGAGAAATTATAATAATAAGAGCAGCTAGTTGTTCGTGGTTTCTGCAGCTGCCGTGCACAAGTCTGTAAGGGAGTATATTTCAGGTCTAAGAGGCAAGGTGGGATAGAAATCAATACAAAGTGTTCTGAGTCATCATAATTATTCCACGATGGAGCATTTCTCACTGATTTCTTCCTTTAATTTGTAGCTTAAATTGTTTTTTTTGGGGGTTTATTTGCCTTTTGCAGTCTTTGTTTAAATGTGACTTTGATACATTCCCTGAAGGCATCTGATCACATACAGTTTATGTACACTGTTGGCTATGGGCTATTTGGTTATATTGCAGTTAAATACCACAATGGCACGCTACTGAGAAGTTGTTCATGAAATGAAGATGGGTAAAATCCCTTTATAGAGAAAAATAACACCATCGCAGGTGTGTGCAGTCAGTGTAATTGCATCCTCGAAAAAACAATTCACCCTTTCAGACAGGAAACCAGTAAACCAGTAAACCACAGTCTCTGGAAAACCAGATTCTATTTGGTTTGCATAATTTTTCAGCTGAAAGATGCTTAAAAATACATGACAAGTAAAAAAAGCCAGCCAGTGCATGTTCAGGATCAAGGTTCACCCATGTGTTTCCCTTGTCAGCTGCTAGAAACAAAAAATGGGCGTTTTCACTTCATGAACGTTTGGACCCCTTCGATTTTTTCTGCTCCTCTTTTTCCTTTCCTTGCTGTTTCTTCTCTCTCTTTTTTTCCTCCTTGGCTTCCTTGTACTTCCAGACAGGCGGTTCCAGGTAACCCTTTTGCCTTTTGTTCTTTTTCTCCTTCTTTGGAGTGCGCTCCCCAGATTTTGTAACTTCAATTTTGGGAATGCAGCCTGAGGGGAAGATGCTGTTTCTGTGTGCCATGCTGCGGGGCATGAAGCTTTTCACGCCACCTGTTGGCGAGCTTTGCCTGCGCTCTGAGTCTTGGCAGCAGGAGGTCAGTGACACAGAGGTGGCTGACACAGGTGAAGCTGAAGTGATGGAGCCATTACTGTGAGACACCGTGCTCTCCTCCAGTTCCTTGCTGCTGTGCTTGTCAAGCAGTTCCGGTACAGCAAATCGTCGCTTGCCAATCTCTGGGGGGCTGGTGGGACAGAGTGGACGGCAACCAGTAGCTATCAAGGGGCTGTGGATGCTTGTAGTCATCCGCACCATGTGGTCCATGACCCCATTGTCTTGGGGGTCATGTGGGAAGCTGAAACTAAGACTGTCTTTTAAGCGCTGCCTCAGCTTCTGACCTGCAGTTTTGGCTGCAGTGGCCTTTGCCACCAGTAGCTTTAGCTCAGGCCACTCAGGAATGTAGCTGTCACAGAACTGTTCTGCGATAGGACGAGTTTGCAGGCGACGCAGTCTGCTCAGAGTCTCAAACCTTCCTGTCTTAAGGGCCCAGTCTTTTAGACCTTTCCCCTGGACGAGATCGACCGCATTGACATCTGCACCTGCACAACGAGAAGGAGAGAAAACAGCAGAAATGTTGAGTGGGAGGAAATCAACTGGGTCAACTCAGCGTAACAGCACCACCATGTGGTGACTTTTGGAGCACAGGTTATTAGGTAGATGGCAAGCATCAGTGTGGTGAGATGGGACACAAATTGCTGGGAATACATTTTTTTTAACTGCATTATTTTTTACACCTTTTCATATTATATTACAGTATTTAAGTAATAGAAAAACAATGAAATAACAAAAACCTCTGGTGTTTTCTGCTATTTACACATTTATTTTTTACAATATAAACCCAAAGAGTCATGCTGAGAGATTTCTTTATTTACTACAGCAACATTTCTTTATGTTGCTTATGTTGCTAAACTTCTTCACACTGACAGAGGGTATACTATAAAAGTAAACAATAAATAAAACTGAAGTAACTGAAGTGATCTGGCTGTATGTGGCCCACAGTGTAAGATGAGTTTGACATCCCAGGTTTAACCAATTTCTGGCTGAAGACGCTCAGTCATGTCTACTCAGGAGACTTTGGAAGTCTACTTGGCAAATAATCAAGGCTTTAACTGACCAAATATACACACGGATATTTTTGTTGCACACTATGAACACGGATGGATTATAGATTAATGTCTGACATCATTAAACTTTAAATAGAACGTGGACTGAATTATTACAGAGCTTTCTCCGATGTGTTCCTGCACAGTTCATACAGGACTAATCTCTGTAGTCCAGAAAAAAAACAGATTAGTTGACAGATCGGATGTCCGGCTTTGCCCTCTATATTACATATATAGGATATTAATAGATTTGTTATACCTATAAGAGTTTAATTGCAATCACACCAAACCAAATCCTCTACATCTGAGGTGTACATTCTGACTCTCCGTGTGGGCTTGACGTTCGGTCACAGGTGAGGGACATTGTTAGAAAATTTGATGTAGAAAGACGTACCATGCATTAGCAATGCGGAGACACACTCTTCTCTGCCTTGTAGGCCTGCCTTGATGAGAGCTGTGAACCCACGGGGGTCTCTGATCTCAGTGTCCACACAAGGGTAGTAGTTAAGGATATAGTTCAGGATGGTGATGAAGCCTGGATTGAAAAGATTATGTTACGTTAATATTCTATGATCAGCTTAGGAATTGACGTTGAAGTCATCTGATGTCTTCAGATGTACCTGCTTGGGCTGCAATCATGACAGCAGTGTTGCCATCATTGTCTTGGTGGTTGATGTCTATTAATGGGCATGTGTGAAGCAAGGTGACGATGTCCACAAAACCCTTGGACACAGCCAGCATCAGCCCATTCTGAGGGGAAGAAGATATAAATAAACAGGCCTGTTATAGATGCTGAGGTTACCTTTCTTGATTAAAAAAAAAGTCATTGTCATAGTACCTGTGTGGAAAAAACGAGAAGTGACATTTATCTCACCCTGCCATTGATGTCTAGCTCCATGACTTCATCTTTTGTGACTCCTCTCTCCATGATGCTGCGCAGGGATGCAGTGTCGTTCTTGGCACAGGCCTCGTACACTGTTTTTGCCGGCTCTGTTGATTTTCCGTCCCTTTCATAGATGGGAAGCACCGAGTCGTCTGAAAGCACGCTGCCCGAGTCAGAGTCATCCAGGAGGATCTCTGAGTCCTCAGATGGGCCACTGCCCAGGTGCGGGTCGTCATTTGCAGTAGCCATTGGAACCCCCGCCGACTCCGGTCACACCTGGGTGTCAGGCCTGCAGCAGAGATCCCTTATCTTAAACAGAAAAATGTAAATGTTGAGATCGAGCAGACAGGTGGTTGTTGATGTAGTTAAAGGGGGATAACGATACATAATCTACGAGCAGCTTACAGTTCATTTGCAGTAACGTTACCTTCGACAGATGAAAGCGCTTTTCCGGGTGTCCACGCATTATGCATGCACACAAAACTGCGTGCACATAGTTTGAAATGTGCCGATGTCTATAATTCTTCTTTCCTTTGCAAAAGCCAAATCATAACAAGTGCTGCTGTCTCATTCCAGTCTCGTTTTGGAAGGCGTAAGACCTCCTCCCCTCCTTAGACCAGTTCACGTGTGATTGTGAGACGAGCAACACAAACTGTTTTAAAGTTAGCATTTTAAATAGATCTGGTGACCTGAAAAGGCCTTGTTTAAAAGGCATGAGGCCTAAAGAGGATGAAGAGCTTTACCTCAGCCCTCCTGTCAAAGTAAGTCTCTGATTTACAACGTAGGTAACCTCCCTGTGTAACGTGCTTTGTTGCCAGTTGATTTTTCACCGGCACCACACAACAGAGAAAGACAGTAAATACTTATCACCTTGAGAGCAGTCTCATAATGTAAATATATTTAAGACAACTGAAACGTAAATAATGTGAAGGTACAAATCTACACATAAATAAATAACAGCAACTATAAAACAAGAAATCCTGCAGAGCCGAGGTCGCTCAGTCTGCACAGTGAAGTGAAAGAAGGCATAGGGACGCTCAACTGGGATGAGAAAGGCCATATGGTACTGGAAGCAATGAGAGGCCAGTCCAGTGACAGCATGTGTCATGGTGTCTTAACACTGTTATACTGCTCTTCCTGTAGTGTAAAGTTTGTATCTAGTGTGTAAATATACTTTCAAGCCACTGAAGACACTATTTCTCAAGACTCAGAAATCTGATAGTGTCAGCTGGTTCTAATTCTCTATATTTTAAAGATGGGAAATGACAGAAGAGCTGGCTGTGGTCCTGCACGCACCACAAAACTCAGCAAATTAGTTTTGCACCTACTGTCAGTCACAGTAATTAGAAGTTATTCAAATTAGTTATCTTTTTAATAAGCTCTTGTTAACGTCCATAAATCCCTTAATCCCACGAGCAAATGCTTGTATTTCTGCACTCTGTCATGCACAGTTCCCAAGTCTCTTCTCTCTCTTCCTCATTCTGCACGAACATAAAATGCCCGACTTTAGTGTTGACGTGTAGGCCACTGTGGCCTCCACTTCCTGTTGAGCAACACCTTGCAATCTGGCCAGACATCTTACTCTGAATCCTAAATGTCAGCTGTCTGTTTTTGCCTTTTAACGGTGGAATAAAGATGATTAAAAAGAGAAACTAAAGCAAAAACAACACACGTCAGAACAAATATTACTAAAAATAATAACACAGCTCTCACCTGAAAGCAGTTCAGCCATGAGTTAGTCCTCTTCTTTTTTTTTCTCCTCTGGTTTCTCACTTCCTCTTGACAGTTAAACCATCCTGGACTTCCACGCTTCTCGCTGGCGCTTAGTAGAACCTGGTCAAGGCTAAGTTTCCCAAAACTGACTGCAGCTCCAGATTTCCCCTCCCTCCATTCCTACTAGTGCCCAGTATGGTTGCCTCATCAGCCAGGTCCCAACATAGACTCTGCTGTCCTAAGTCAGCCAACGTGCTCTCTTCCTCTCATCCTGATTACAGAAGATTTAAGGATTAAGAGAAGGAAACAGACAGCGGCCAAACTTGCTCCCCTTACAGTCTTTTGAGTTGGTCTGCTTTCTCTTTCTTCTCTCTTTTACTTCTCTCTGATCTCTCTGAATCTGCCCATCTGCAGCTTTCTGCTGCCCGTCTGTTGTGTCAGGGCAAACCCCTCAAACTGTCCAAAAAAAAGTCCTGTGACTGAATCATAGAAGCTGTTGCTCCCAAATCTGCTCTCTGCTGCTGAGGACCCCCTGCCTGAATGATTCCAGCGAGTCTGCCTAATGCAAGGCAGAGTCTTGGGTCTGTTTTGGATGGAAATCCATCTGCTGGGACAGCAAACAATGCACACAAGATGAAGTTATTGTGCACAGATGCTGTGGGAGTGAGTGTAAGCACCTGGTTTGAAAATGCTCCGTCCTTAATTATGAGGCAAGTTATATTTCATTATCCGCAAACTTCATCTGTAGGTATTTAATCATCATATTAACATGATTATTTAAGCAAGTTTGATATTGAATCCAATATTATAACGGAAATAAATTAGGTTAACTTTTTAGCATCGTTGGTTTAGTAATGTCCCGTTTGAACCGTGACCACAGCCTTTCTGCTCACAGTGTCGAATCTCATATGTGGACGGGGATATCCTGTTAGCAGGTGTATTCGCAGCATCAGTGTTACAGTTACGTGGGTCCAAATGTGCATGTAAACAGATTAACTCTTATATTAAATTAGAGCAGGGCCAAGCCTTTGCTTCAAGCATATGATTGTTGGCCTGTGTTATGTAACAGCACCTCTTGTTTAGAGGGGTTGCTGACTGCCCTCTTCTGATGAAACTTGGAAATGGACAGCCTGGACATGAGTACAGTTTATGTGGTGGCATTCAGCGAGATAAAACATAACATGATTCCTCACTGCAGGCCTTAGCTACTGCACTTCCAAATAAAATCTACAAACTTTTAACAAGGCATGCAGGCAATTTAGGCTTAGTTTAAACAAATTATAATCACTAAATGCTCCTGCATTATTAAAGATCAACATTATTTCAAGTAGCAGATATCATTGCAGAGCCCAGTCATAACTGAGTAAAGCTGTTATAATAAAGGAAATTCATTCAAAAGCTGCTTGATCCTGAGAATTATAGATGGTTATCTGCTCTCAAGAGTTAACAAACAGAGGCATGAAGCTGACACACCTCCAACATCATAATCCCGAGAAATCCCCACAGACAAGCCCTTATCTGAAGACACCTCTTTGGCTTTAAAGCATCAGATGGGACCTGTAGTGTCACAGTAACCTTAACCGTCACTGAAAAGGTTCTATGTTTAGACACAAGACCCCGAGGTAGGTCTGATATGAAACACAGGAAGAGTAGAAAAGGGCCTGTGGGGGGAAGATTATAGCTTCTGGGAGCAAAGCAGAAATAAAATTGACAGGAAATAATACAGAGGAAAAGGAAGTCTGTTTGGCATGACAGGGTGGGGTAGTGATTGAGTGTGTATGTTTTCCTTTATCCTTTAAGATCTACAAAAAAAGGCCAATCTAGTTTACCAGATGAGGGCAGCATAGCACATTTAGCAACCTTTTCTAAGACATTTTCTCAAAGAGAATCAGTTGTGAATGTGATTTATGAGTTGCCAATTGTGAATGAGATTTAGAAGTTTAAGTACATTTTGTTCTGATTCCCACCTCTTGATAGTACTCAGACTTTCCTTTTAGGGTCAGGGTTATTTTCTTTCTATTCTGCAAATTCCTGACAGAGTCATTTACTCATCACTGTGAAAGGCAGCCCAACTTCTCCCCAGACACCACATTACCCAGCACAAATCAGCGGTGGAGCAAAAGAAAGAGGCTTGGGACAAAGTGGACTAAGTTTAGCCAGCTTAGTGACTGATTCTAACAACAGCAATGTGCTTAGCTAATATTAGACTGTTGGCAGTCTGTGCAGGACCGTGCATCTGCTATATTAATTCCATTTATGTGCTAAAGACAGAAGCACCTCTAATGCTATTTGCCTTAAAGCACGTAAAATCCTCCAGCATCCAGGAAA